TCTGTGTATATGTGTGTGTGTGTGTGTCTGTGTGTGTTCATCTCTCTCTCTCTCTCTCTCTCTCTCTCTCTCTCTGTGTGTGTGTGTGTGTGTGTGTATGTGTGTGTTCATCTCTCTCTCTCTCTCTCTCCTCCCCCAAACCTTACAAACACCCTCCCCCCTCCCCAGGTGCCTCCCCTCTTGCACCTTTTCTGCCCCGTTCCTCCCCCCCATTCTCCCTCTCCATCATCTGCCCCAACCCTCCTGTCGGAGTGTCTTACTAATGGAATTGGACAGACATATGCAAGTACAGGGCATGCGTGAAAAGGAGAGCAATAAATATGGTGCCCAACATGTCATGCAGGTAAAACTCGTACGCAGTACTCTGAAACATTGAAGGACAAATAACAGGAGCAGACGCATACAGACGATAGGCAAACAGAAGCACTGCACATAGGCGTGTTCTAAGCATCATTCCAAAGCATTTTCGCAGTTCCTCGGACACTTTCATCGATTGCAGTCATCAATGGCAGTAATGCATGTTTCACGTAAACAAGATTCCATCCTAACTCCAGAACACTACATTACAAACACACCTTGAGCATGAATGTATACAAGCTATACTTCCAGTTTGATTCATTCATCAACGGTGTCATTAGAGTTGCATAGGTTCCCAGCAGCAGCCACTGATGCGGACCTTTTCACACCTGGTTTTCCCTTCCAATCAATAGCCTATTTTACTATTTTGCTAATCTGTCAGTGAGACATTGCAGTGGTTAAGACTTTCCACATAGTACTGTTCAGGTGTTTCCAAGCCCCTGTTCTCTGACTTTTAACCCCCAGAGCCTTTGTTCTCTGACTTTTAACCCCTCCTACGGGAGTTGTTTTCGCCATTGCCAAACAACCAATTGTGAATCCCATAAAGTGTGCTAGCATAGAAACCGATTCCAGGCCAAATCAGGCCACAAATCGGTGTTGTGTCCTTTTCTTTCAGCCCTGTTTCAGACTTCCCTTCTGTTGGCTCGATACTACAGGCACCAGCCATGTTGTCTACCAGTCAAACTGTTGTATGGAAGCAGTACTAGGCATTTATAACTATATATGAATTTTAAAATCCTTGAGCAGCACAGGCAATGCAGCAATGGTTGCTTCTGTAAATGACGTACCCATTGCGACTGACCCGGTCACATTCTGCACTCTGAAGACCTTAAAGCTTGGCATAACTCACTAACACATATGGGTCACAGGTCCAGGTTTGGACCATGTCTCCCAAAATAGATCAGGACATATGGCGTAAGACAATTTCACAATCGAGGCTGGAACACAAAATATATCTGCAGGGATTTGTACTCAGCCGGCTCCGCACGGGTGGCCAGTGGACAATAAATCACCTGGCTCCCGGACGGCCTTTCTGCGCGCACACGTCAGTTAACCTCGTGTGATGCACAGGCTTGGGCTTCCAGAGGGAAAAGGCAGGCAGCGCCAAGGCAAATCATGCATGGAGACGGTTCAAGATTCTTTAAGGCCGTGCACTGTCAAACTGAGGCTCAGAGATACTGGTTGTTTAACAATGTTTACATCATTCAGAGCGGTACATGCAATGCGAGCGCCGAAGGCGCATCTTGACCGCTGGCGTTATTGTTATATATATTGTCACACTGTGAATCAGATACATATACAGAGCTTCCCGGTAAACCGTAGGCAGAGAGGCAGAAGAGGACAAGAAACGAGGGCCTGTGGCAAACTGTTTCGTCGGAGTTTCATATATATATCTATATATATTGTCACATCACTACAAACTAAAAGAGCGCACTTTGCGGAACAAAGAATAAAAGCAAAAAACGGGCACAGTGATAACATGCAAAAATAAAAAGAAAAAGAAAAAACAAGGGCAGATT